ATTTGTATAACTATATTTGTTGCAAAAGCTATTTCCTGCATATTTGTCGTCCTGTCCTTCTATTAGTATACTGCTGGCATTTACTCAGAGCTGCAGCTCATGACTCCTGGCCTCCCACTACATTTCCACAACACACTCCAGTGTCCATTCTGTCTCTCTTCACAAAAGCCATCAGAAAACAGTACTAAAAGACTAGAACTGAGAGTGGGCTGAGAGTGGACTGCTCAGAGGAAAACTAATCTATCTTTACTTTGTATCTGCTGGCTCCAACACTCACTGTTTTTCTTCTCGCTCACACTTTACACCCCCCCTCCTCCTCTATATCTCTCTGTTTCCCCCCTCTCTAACAAACACTCTTGTTTTTCTTGCACTTCTCATTGACTTCACATTTTCTTCCATCTCCCCTGGTGGGATTGTGAGAAGGACATCTCCACATGTGTATGCACAAACTGTTATTCACTGTGAGCGTTCCAGCTCTGACCTTCAGTCAGCTCTGAGCCAGACAACCAGGCAGCAATGCTGCAGGGCTCTTCTCAAGGGACACGTTCTCAGAACAATTGCACATACAACCCCTAACCCTCCTGATACGCAGGGAAGAGCCTGATTGACAAGGACAAGGAGTGAAAGGCAGTGAATAATAAAACCAAATGCAGAAATCAAACCTTCCACAAGGCAGTAGCAGAATAGGACTCAGATGTATTGGATTTATTTTTATAATAAACATTAAGAGGCAGCTAGAACGGGTTGCCCTGCAAACAAGGTCAATCATCTAAAGCCTCCTTCATGCAAATAATCTTTTCCAATGCAGCTGGTAAATCGGAGATTTACTAAATGCTAACCAGAAAACTAATTTCATACCTCACAGATATTTCCCATTACAAAATACCAAGAAATCTGTCCCCTGAATTAATCACCATTGAGCCTTTTGTAACCGAGGCATGACAGCAAGACCTTCAAAGTCTCAGGAACGTAAACATGTTTTAAAAAATCCATCTAGATAGTTCCCTGCTTCGAGCCGATGTGTGGTGCTGCATGCTAATGTAAGACAGATCTCCTTTTTGTTCTTGAAACCCACGGTTGGTATTTTTAAACCGCGGAAATCATTTGCCGGTAGAGAGGAGGTGGTTTCATATTTCTATAAGCTACAGCGCGGCCAAGTGACACATGAATATTTTAAGCAGCTTTGTGCCTATTTAAATGTGTTTGCTGTGAACGGGCTGGCAGCGGGCCAGGGCACAGGGTGTTATCCTTAATTCCTGCAATCCCAAACTAAACTCCATGATGATAATTCACGCTGGCGCGAAAGCAAAAGCAAATAAAGTCAATTAACGACAAACTCCCCTTGAATTGGTTTCATTTGCCTTGCTCGTTCCTGACGACACTGTAATGTCGCCACCACAGCACTGATGAGGGAAGGAAATGAGTGTATGTAGTAAAGCGCCTTTATCGTTGCACAACATTGTGGAAGTATTTACATAAACATAGCTTTCACCAGAGGAGTAGTGTCTTTTGCCAGAGGACTGGGGGAAGAAAGCTTCCTTTCAAAATGAAAAACAATGTTGTGCTTTGGTCATAAATATTCCCAGAGTGTTGAGGGAAATACAAATATAACCAGGACACAAACCAAATGAACCTCTCTGAGTCCACAATGCTTCCAGCAGCATGTTGACAGCCAGGGATATACTGCGTCTGCCAATGCGGATTGAAGATGGCGGTGATAATGCCATCACTCAACCTCACAGTCGCACTACGGTCATCAGAATTAAAACACTGTCTCCCTATTTCATTGTTGATTCTGCTTCTGTCTAAATTCTTCCTGAGGCCTTTTTTTGAAACCAAAATAGCTTTGATAGAAAGGCAGATGTGATGACTCATTGCTTGTGAGTATTTGTTACGAGCACTACCAAATAAGATCCTGAACATATTGCGCTTTTTGTATGGAAAGATGTCAAATGAGTAGCTTTTATCTTAGCCTACCAGTTAGCTGACAAATAATGCTAATGACTTGAATGCAACCCTGAATTTCCACTTCACTGAATTCTAACAAGTCATCTAGGAGAACTGAGGGGGAACACATTAAATTGGTCAACCATAGTTCAGCTTGCAAATGTTTCATTCCACTCAACAAAGCTGTTAATTTCCATGTTTGAAGTGGACATTTAACAGCTTTTTATTTGGCCTACATTGTTGAGGTGGACTATGAGAGAAAGCCAAAGTGGCAATAATACAAAAATACTTTTATTCTGGGATTTGCACTATCAGTACAAAGTCTCTTTCAGTGCTCCCGAAAGGAAAGTAAAAACGTATTATAAAAAGATAATCTTATCTCATCTTATTTCACTTTGTAATGGCTGCACCGGGATAATTTCTGTATCAAAGTAAATGCATTGCATATGAGGAACATTGAACGTGATATGTCATTGTGCGTGGAAATTAGCTCAGCATGGCTGCCTGCAGCTGGTGGCCACAACACTCTCTGACACTTGTCGCTCTACATGGCCGATGCCGTGAATACAAAGGGATGACTATGCTTTGGTGTTACAATGAGTGTGTGCATGTTTGTGTGTATGTAAAGGTCTCAGCCTGATAGGAGAACAGCGGTTGTACAATGTGAGCCGCCTATCTGGGCAGAATGGGAGATGGGGCAGGAGGAACAGACCGCCCCGGGGGAGCTGACCTCCTCATTCAGCCGGGAGCAGCTGGGATTATCTGCTGAGCAAGCATCTCCTGCAGGACATGCACGGGGTAAAGAACCAATGGGCTACATCTTCTCTCAAGGCATTTTTGTATTTCCCTTACACTTACACACACTGACATACATTTTTCTTTCCTGAATAAAATATCCCACTCATAAAATCTATCTTCATCTATCTTTTGTGGAAACTCTGCTCCTTTATATGAAAACAGAGAGATGAAAATATATGTTTTTCTAAAGAGAATGAATTGCACTACACGAAATGGAGCAGCATTACAACAGCAAATATGTGAAGTGGCTGCTACTATACTTAAAGAGATATGCTGTACAAAACCCAAGCTCTTACAGAACTCATAGCTTATTAAAAACGTGTTTTGGTTGAGCAACAGGCAGCAGACTGCACTGCCAGGGTCTCTGTCCGTGGTTCTGAACAAGAGCTAATTCAGCACAAAGGACAGAGACTCGCCTTTTGAGCCTCATTCGAGACGCTACGGCCATTTCACTGCCACAAGAACACCGTCAAAATCAAACATGAGCGTTACTTTAGAGGAAAGAGATTGCAGTGACATGAATCACCTATTATCTTGCATGGTTGTGTCTGTCGTGCTACTAATGCCGGATTCCTTGCCTATCATGGTGAGGTATATTCAAGTGGTGACGGCTTGGAAATGTTCGTGTCAAATGCTTTTATACGGGGATCTCAATCATTGGTGAAAAGACGACCGGCGTCTGTCAGACAACGTGTGAGACGGAAGTGGCTCGTCGGGCGGCTGAGGATGCAGCAGACAAACAAGCACATCCCGTTGCCATAGCGGCGGCTCACGCGGACGCGGCCTGACTCTTAAACAGGATCCTCGGGGGAATTTAAGGATTGTAAGGATGTGTTGTCAACATTTGATGACATCCGCTGGCAGGGTGGGGGTCCTCTGTCACTCCAATATGCTGTTTTGCATTCAACAGAAAGCGGTGAAACAGGATCTTATTCAGAAACAGGCGAAACCCCAGGATGCTGATCCAGTGATATGAGTGCATGAATACACGGCAGCAATAGCACTATTTTAAAGTTATGATTGGAGCAGTGGCAACATGTTGAAGCACTGATTTAATAAGCACAATTGGCTATGGCTATAATCTTTCCTCGAGGCGGTGTTGAGATAAATGGCTAATCAATCGTTAGGTTTATAAACTCCACAGAATATTTTTCGGTTAATACCTTTAACTGTTGCTGTGGCTTATAACGTGACTCAGCCGATCGCCACTATGAACCGGAACTATACGTTTCATCAATGGCAATAACGGTAAATAAGCAACATCTCGGGGATTCCCATTGGATAGCAGTTCAGTGGGATTAAGGATGAAAAACACTGCCCTGCGTATCGATCAGCCCTTGTGACAGGACAGAGTGATTGATCAGGCACTCCGTAGTGTAATGTTTACATGTAAACATTTACTGCAGAGGACATGCTGGGTGTCAGCAGTTTAAAGGGGCCGTGGAGATACAAGTCTTGAGAAGAGATGTGAGCAGCTAATTCTTTACGAATTTCATCAGCCCGTATATGAACTGTTGCATAGAGAACTGCTTCATTAAGGCTTTATGGCTGCAGGGGATTTTATTTTAAAGTTACTGTAACACTGTGTTTAAGGTTCGTATAATAGGCTACACGATTCATGATAATATGCACTCGGTAAAAATACTTTAAAATAAAAGATGCCACAGTAATTGATTGAATGTAAAACATTTTAGAGAAGGGTTGAAATTGTTAAACTATTAAAAGGCGAGAGTATAACATGTCTCTATACTGCTTCTGCATCCCGTGATTCATTCACTTGCTGTCGACATCCTACGGGCACTTCATCGTTGCAGAAGATACCGTAATACAAACAAACATATCTTACCAAATCTTAAAACGTGTGGCATCCCGCGAGAGTAACCAAGAAACAGCAGCAGAAGCGGGATCAGCCTGAGGTTGGACCTGAAAACGAGACTGCTTATCATCAGATGATGGGAGGTAATCTTCATGTTGTTTTTAAAAAATGCACAGTGGTTTAATCCCCCCGGTGCGCGGGTTCGATTCCCCCGAAATTCTTCTACGCTCGTTGGGCAAGGCAGGGTGACGGCGGCCCTGGATGCGCAAGATCACGGCATGGTCACTTGCGCTTTCCCTAAATCCATTAGCAGTCCCGGCATGATTCCTTCTCCTTCCCCTTCTCCTTCTCCTCTTCACTGCGCCAAGAAACAACAATCCTCCGGGTTCGAGGGACGGCGGGACATCCATGTCGAAGGTGTATACGGATCCAGTGGGGAGGGGGGGAGCACGAGCATGGGCTGTAGGTGAAGGTACTGGAGAGGGTTGGAGAGGGGCTAGAGAGCGCCAAGCAGAGGATACAGCAGCGATACACAGCCCCCTATGAGGCGCTCTGGGTAGCTTGCGCTCCCATTATACTGCACTGCTGCACAGGCTCTGACGTCGAGCCAAGGTTAGTGTTGTGAACGCGCACCAGAGAAAGACAGAGAGAGCGAGTGGGGGGATAAGGAGGGAGATGGATATACAGATAGATAGAGATAAAAAGAGGGAGGATGGAAAAAGAGAGGGGATGAACGACGGGACAGAGATAATAATGGGGAGGGAGGATGGGAAACTTTATTGCAGGCTGTAGTTTCTCTGCTACCCCCACAACTTGCCACCAAGCTCGCATGCATTCAGAGAGTTGTCAGTAAAGATGCAATATTGTAAGTGCAACAACATTAACTTCAACGTGAAGCCTTACTTGCAGTTCACAATACGGATTTAGTAACAAAACAAAGCATGATGCATCCATACATTGAGGGAAATACAGTTGCTGTGATATTGATCAAATGGCATCTTTCTTATGAAGTGACATGTAAAAAGTGCAACCTCTATTTAACAACATATGTTTGGCTTGTTTATTATGGCCGATTGTCTTTTCAGCACCATGGACTGATGGTAAACCTGCATGTCAGCCGCAGAAACGGAATGGGAGTCTATACTGTAAGTAATGTTTCTCAGGGTTAAAAAAACCAGCAATGATTTATTGTTCCCACTGGAGGATGCTTAAGCTTTGGCTAATTCTAGAGGCACTTTCCTTTACAGGCTCATACAGAAATCACTATGCACACACTGCACATAGCGATATAATCTCATGCCTGCAGGATATCATTGCACTGATTTTCTTTTTCCTTACACCCGTACAGTAGGATACATTATATACAGTCTATGGTTCTGTCATTATATTTCCTTTCTAAACCTCTTTTACGGGATTTCAAGTTTCAACCATTTCCACCATCTTTTCAGAAATGTGGGAGGAGTGGGATGAAAGAATTAAAATTGGCAGAACAGTAAATCCGTCATATCGACAGAGGCTGCTGAAAAGCGAATATTTAACCTATGCAAATAACTCCACTTTAGACATGAAAGCCTTCCAGCAACAGACTATTCTCGAGTGAGAGCCATCCTCCAATGTGAAGGTGTGTGTGGCATGCACGCAAAGCGCCACTGTTGCTTATATTTCACGGGGAAAGATATCCTCTCGAGATTTTAAATGGGCCTATCGCCTTTCTATCTGATTAGCGAGTTCAATTGAGGCTGTATCCTATAGGAGGCAATGCGCCGAGAAGATGGATATCTTCAGCTTTAGCGTGGGTCTACATGATATTGATTCAACACTACATGAACCTTATCAGCGTCCTCCCCCAATGAGCAGCTCTTCATGGGCCAGTGCATCAACTGGAGCTAGTATGTACAGTGATGTACCCACCCCCCAAGAGGGCTATTTAATCCCAACGGAGACGTGAAAGGAAGGCTTTGATCAGCGCATCAGAGTCCAAAGCCTGGATGAACACAGTCATTGACTAAAGTGTGAATGGATTGACTGTGTGTGTAGAAATACTTTGAAAGTCACTACAATATTCCTGCATGGCCTTATGTATTTAAATAGATATTCGAGTGACAATGCATATATCATGGTCTATTTCTCTTTTTACAATGCTGGTAACTGCCTGTGTGGTGTGTCTTAATTAGACTGCATGCAGAATAGTGAAATTAGAGTAAATGGGAGATGACTAACACCTTCCCTCTCTGCTATTGGAGTGATACTCCATTATGCATCGGATCTGTCAAGTCCCCGTTCACAAATACTGTAAAAGTGAATGCATTTAATTGTGAAGAGGACACTTGTATCAGCTAAAAGAAACACAAAGTAATTACATGGGATCAAGTAGGTGGTGTGAACACTGACTTTGAACGTGTGTCAGTTTGCGTGGTCTGCACACCAGCAATCTGCAGTGTGAGCATATCAAAGAGAATGGCACTCATCATGCCACCATCTGGACCATTAGCATAATTATGGAGAAATTCAGGGTTCCCGTATAAGTCAGCAGAGCTTCACACAGCATGAAAGGAATGCTTATTGAGCTCAGGGAGAAGACATCAGCTGACAGGCATGCTGGTTCCTCTTTAAAGTCACAGCACCCCTCTGGCCTAAATGCCTAAGGTACTGCACCACGAAAATCCCTCAGGTGCCCCTACACTCAATGTTCCCCCAAATGTAATTTGTATAATAGAATTAAGGCTGTCACAAATTGTTCTGACTTAATTTTCGAATATTGATGTACACCATTTTTCTCTGTCTGTGTCTCAGCATTGGGCATGTGAGGATAAAATAATCAGCTATGCTTTACGTCTCCATTTTTTTTGTTTGTAGATTAGTTTAACGTTTCACTGCCGGGTAAGCCAGTCAGAGAGTAACATTACTGAGTTTGTAAATCAGTTAGAAAATTGGAGGTGATGAGAATGGTGAATTTTTACATTATGATGTCAAAATGACTCTTGCTCCTCTTAGCTTGTGTGACAAATAGGAAAATACCATTTGGGAGATGTTTTCCTTTTCTTCTACTTGTGATCAAACCGTGTCGTTTTTGAAGGAGGACCACAAATTAGATTACTTTTATACACACCCACTTGCTTGTAACCCAGGGAGGCTTCCACATGAGCTGGCTGGTGTGTTTATTCAGAGTCCATTCATGCACTGGGTAATGCAAAGGGGACTTTATGCAAAGGAGAGATAACCACTGCTAAAAGCCTTCTGTCATTCTCTCTCTCTCAGTTTCTCCCCTCTCTCCCGCCCTCGTTCACTCTCTCGCACAGGCAGACTGGTGGAAAGATAGCATTGGCCACAGGGAGGGAAACCATGGAAACGAGAAGCTGATGCACTTTGAATGGTAAGACCCTGAAAGAAAAGACATTCATTCAATTCAGTCACCCTGTACTAAAGGCTCAACTCTACGCATTATTCTGAATTCTAAAAGTGTATTACTAACATGGTTGGCTCCAGAAAGCCAACAATGGTCTCACTTCATCAGCCCATTGTGTCAGAGTGACTGTAGCTAAGGACGTCTTTACATTTTGGCAAGTTGAAGAAGGGCCCTACAACAACACACACACACTTCTCCCTTTTGCACTCAAAAAACAAACCTATAAACGACCTCTTTTTCTCAGCGTTAACAGCGTGTGTCCAAATGCACCCCACCATGCAGGCTTCACTTAAGCCTAGTGACCCAGGCAGTTTGGAGATCAACATATTTACATTTCCCACTTGTGGCTTTGCTTCAGCAAATGCCTCGAACATAAATGCATGCCCGAGTCAGTGCTGGCCTATATGTCTTGAGAAGTGCTGTCATTGAGATCCCGGGGACCCTCAGTGGGAATACATTATTCAGTGACGACAATAGTCAAGTGAGACAGTAATTAGGACCTCTCTGCACACTGTCACTTCCAGTTAGTGTTGACAGATGCCCGCAAATCACCCCCTCCAGCAAATGCAGTCAGGCAAGCTTACTTCTGGAGCTGCACACTGTTGTGACAGCCATCTGTAACTTGTGTTACGGTAATGGTAATACTTTAGAAAATGGCATGGAAATATGTTCAGCATTAAAACAATGTAGTGTATTGTCAGTAAATAATGTTCTGTCGTCATATACATAGACTGTTTATATAAAATGATGACCATTCTATTTGTGCCAAGTCACCAGTGTCACTTACTTCTGTGGAAGTTGTCCTTGTCATACGTATTGACCAAAGTAACATATTGCCAATAATATGGAAGTTACAAATCATATTTTAGTATTATGAAAAAGTTGTGCATCACCTTACAACAATTATAGAATTACTGACGTGACTGCCCACATCAACTCAATTAAGTGGTAATTCCTAAGAGTATGACAATATCATGTAGGCATACAGATCTGCCACGAAACATAGTGAAGTGTTTCCAACTACTTTCTGCAGTCAAAATGGCAGCCCATCCATTCAAAACAGGTTTAAACCTTCAAAATACAACAGAGAAGAAAGTTCTTACTTCAGCAAAATTATAAACCAAACTAACATTGAGAAACTGAATGCCCTTTGCAGTTTGCCAAGAGTCAAACAGTTTAACGTTATGTATAGTGTCCTACTTCAGTAGCCTGTACATTTGACGTGAACACAAGCTACGTTTTTTGTACCAGCTCCATTATACGCCACAATTAAAACACTGGATATTTCGTCGTAGCCTACTGCCTATCAACAACATGACTGGACTGGTCGTCATCATTGACAAATCATCATTTGCGTACCGAGATCATCATAGGGAAGTTACAGGTTTCTGTGTTTGTAACGTTACTTCTCATCGAGATTTTGAAAAGTTTGAGCCGGAAGACAAACATTGTTCAACGATTGGTTTAATTCAATAGCCCTGACCAATCAGGTGACTTGTAGGCGGGACAATTGTCAACATGACAAAAACTATTTGATCACATAACAGCAATCATTAAAACAATTGAAATGTGTTTTAATTGGGTATGTTACATTGTTAGTTTGTTTTAGGGTTTGTGTCTTTGTTTATATGTTGCACCATAAGCATGACAATAGTAAAAATCCCTACTGGTTGTTAGAGCCTAGATCTGTAATGATACCAATATGGATGGATCAATTTGACCCACTGGCTCAGAAGGCATAATCAACCCAAAAGTGTCTCATACGATACAAGATATTTTGACTATAGTGTGTGTATAATGGCGATGAGCTTCAAAAACGTTATTTACCAAACAGCTGATATTTCAAGACAACAAAACAATGTCAATACTTTTAATGCCGACTTCATTTCAGTTATTTTTGCAGTTCTGTGCTCAGTTATCATGCTCTTGTACTGTCATGGTGTACTGGGTCACTTTGCAGAATCGAGCCATAGTTACTGTTATTAGCCACAAAGGTGTGGGTTCATAGACCACGGTTTTAAAATGGCGCCTGTTCAGATTTTACTTACACTCTCTAAAGGTCCCATGTCATGGCCATTTCTACTGATCATAATTTCATTGTGAGGTATACTAAACTAGATTTATAGCCTACTGTGCAATTTTCCAAACTCACATTGGTTTCTCATACAGCATCTCTATAAATGATGTGTATTCACCGGTATTCACTCTCTGTCCTCAACGGCTTGTTGGAGCTCCTGAAAAACAAAACGTTTACCCATTTAAACAGTCGTGGTAGATACCTTGTTTGTTTTAAACATCATAAATACACAAACAACAATGAATACTTACAGGTTGTGTACCCGAATCTCCCGCTGGTCCAACAAAGTAGGAACAGGTATCGTTCTTCAGTGCCCTACGCTGTACATATGTTTCGTGAATGCTGGCAGAGGGTGTGGCCTCTGGGTATCTCTACGTAACGATACCCAGGAAGTAAACAATGGAAAATGGGAAATCTCCAACGAGGCGTTTTGGAGAGGTATTTTCTGTGTTAGACTTTTACTCCCTACAGGGTGTACTTTGAGGGTTTGTGACTCTGCAGACCGTTTACATGCATAAAAACCTTCATAACACACAAGGGGACGGGTATAACCAGAAAAGCATGACATGGGACCTTTAAATTAAATCTACTTAACTCTCTGAATCCATCGTTTTAAATTAGTTTTAGTTAAAGATAGCAAAGCAATTTCAGACAAGAATGAACACTGCTACCAACAAAGGATTACATATCTATTTGCACAAAGGTTCGATGTAAAGGCCAACGCATGTATCCAGCATTGAAGAAAACTTGATTACATGGACCCTTGATGTCTTTATTATAAGATATCTGTACCTTGCTTACAATGCCATTTTGGATAAATAACATTTCACAATGGATTGCAAAGCTGACCCAATTTCCATGTGCATAAAATGTCAGAAAGTCCTCAAAACTTTTCAAACTTGAATCTTTATCGACTTCCGTCTTTCCTGTCATGTTCCCAGCACTTATTATTATAAAATACAAGTTCTATTTTTGTAATTGTATTTATAGTTCTCAGAACAGTTATGCCAATGTCTACAGCATTATTTATTAAATACATATAATGCTTATTTATTTTTTAAATAATAGCCCCTGAAAAATAACAACAATTCATAAGAATTTAAATAAATAAAAACTTTTATTTTATTTTTTAAATGTGTGAGTTGTTCATGTCTTTGTTCTTGTCAGGAATATAAATACTTTCTGTTCTTTGTGGTCTAAGATCTTAAGAGTAAATCATGCATATTCACAGACACACAACAACAAAAACAAAATCACACACACACACACACACACACACACACGCACACACACGCACACACACACACACATACACACACACCACACACACACACACACACACACACACACCACACACACACACACACACACACACACACACACACACACACAGCAGTGAGTCAGGCTGATTGGATGGTGGACGGCTGGAGTTGTTATTACAGAGCATCCAGCAGTGTCTGGTTTGCAGGATAAGGACGTCCTTACAGGGCATTTCTCAGTGTGAACGATGAGGAAACAGCTCACTATGTGTGTGTGCTTACATGTGTGTGTATTAGAGATAGAGAGAGAGAAAGAGAGGGAGAGAAAAACTGATAGAGACCCCGAAGAGAAAGTTTGAATAGAGGAATAGACAGAATGTGGACGGATGCATCTGTCTGCCTACACATTTTGGCCATCAAATAGAAATCTTGGCAACGCTTGCAAAAAGTGACTTTCCCCAGTGGAATAGTCTGTGCCAAGGGTTGGCCTGCAGAGAGAGAGAGAGAGAGACTGGAGAATAGAAGAAGACTCACAAGGCTTCATGATCTGATACAGGAAAGCCTCCAATAAACGTTTTCTGTTTTACAAAGACATCTCCATCTTTGGTGTCCATGAAATAGAATAAGAGAAGGGCCACTCCAAGCCACACATGGAAGTGTAAACAAAAAGCGGACACGCACGGTTGATTTTCCTCCATCCTGGGGCTTTTGTTAATGGGCCTCTCTTGGTGCCCTATTAGTAACTCATTAGGGCTTGATCTAATTTTCAGCATTTTACACACCACTGACAAAGAGACATGAAAGAAATCTGTAAATGTGAATGCCACCAACTCGATGACACATGAAACGTTAGAAACTAGACCTGTGTTAACACCTATGAATTGATGCATGAAACAAGTTACACACCTGGAATATATTCTCAAGGAGGGGTTATAGCAAGCACACATCCCTGACCTTTTCAGGTTTCCATCTCACTAATGCAATCCACTCTGATTTCCACAAAGATCCAGGGATCAACTGTTGCAGCAGGGGATGAAAGTGTACAGCAGTCGCCCTCAGACATCCAGGATCAGAACTCCAAACAGGGATAACACCCTCTCAGCATCAATGTTTTCAATCAAAGGATCAGCTACTGTGACTGGAAACAAAATGTCCCAGACAGATATCACGCAGGAGTTACCGCCAGGCAAAAGCTGGCACGACTAATAATGGCTTGTCAGAGTGAAAATAGCCTGGTATTGTTCTCTCTTTCCGGAAAAGGTACAGGCATAACGCTTCTGTCTTGTTCATCTCTCAGGAGTCATGCTCTAATGGCTTTTCAGGCTCATATTACTTGGGTAAGAGGGATTTAAAGTTGCTGTTTCACTACCCACAGAGAGTACTGATGTAGGTTGAGCTATTCATTCACACATAATTCAGCATTAATCAAATTTAAACCATCATAAATGAGATAAATGTGGGTCTTTATATGAAATGGCATTTGAAGCATGGATTTGAGAAATATCAAACTGCCTGGTTGGGGATTTATTAAAAATAACTCAAGGTACATGGACTGTGCCTTCTACAGCTCAAGTGTGTTCATGAGTTGCCAAGACTGCAGTGGTACAAAAATATATTGGACATATAAACAGAAATACTAAATAGTGTGACTGACAAATCTGCCAAGCACTGGTTGTTAGATGCTTGTAAAGAACTGCTAGGGATTAAGGACATATGAGATGCAATGCATTTAGCTTCTATTTCAAACTCGTATACTTATATAGGCAACTCGTTTCAAACATGCAAACAATACAATTCATTTCATAAGAGATAAATGGTTTCATAAACTCTCAGCATGGAATTGTAGTCATCCACTCACAATAATGTGCAGAGGCTTTCTGCTTTTTTTGGCAGGCAACAGTCATTTTATTGTATTCAAGTCTTTTGAATAACTTTCTGTGCTTTTGCTTCCTTGCTCAAATCCTTCCAGTGGTTTTAATAGACAAATTATTGTTACAAAGGTCCTCAGCATCTACAGTAAGCCCTGCGCAAAACCCACCTTGCCGTAAAATGTTCCCACCTAAGCCTCTGTAAAACCCGGGGAGAAATCTGGATGGAAACCAGCAGATAGAGAGGCAGTGTGGAAATAAAAAGAAGGGTTTGATCTCATCATGCTCTCACTGTTCTGGAGGTGATGAAATGAGGCCGGTCTTTGAGCTGGGCGAGGTCAGTCCCTTTGCTCTCTTATGCTCTCCCCTCTCCTCTTTTCATCTCCCCCATTAATCATGTCTGTACACATGAAAATGAGCTTAACCCTTTTCACTTGCGGTGCTCCACTTCCACTCAAGGACACCTTGCAACAGAAAGTGTAGAAGTGGGATCTCTTTGTGCATATTTTCTCCACTTAATGGACACCCTTCAGTCTTGACTCAGTGATGAAATCATGCTGGATGGGGCTTTATCCTCTCTTGTTAATGCTGTCACTCTTCCTCTTGTAGCCTCATATCAATTAACACTTCCATAAACCCTTTTGTCAAATGTTTAACAGGGAAGAAAATGGAATTGAAGGACCTTATCCGTATCCCCTTGAGTCTAACAGAATTTCACTGGCAACTGAACCATGTAAAAAGGGTTGGTGCACGTACTCTATATCCTCATGAGAAAGAAGAGAAGACAGAGAGAAAGAGCGAGAAGAGAAAGAAGATAAAGTCGTCAAGGGAGGGAAATAAATAGAAGTAGGTAGAGAATGAGTAAGGAAGAGAGAGGATGGAAAAAAAGAAAATGAGCTTGGTTCCTTGTGTGGCACGGCACTTCACTTAATCATCCCTGGTCTATAAATAGGCCTTTACAGCCATGGAATATTGGGAGATTAATAGAAGAGAATAGAAAACCATAATGCTGCGAAGCTTCAACACTTCTGTATCACTTCGGTTCAGTGCAGATTATATTTGACTTCTCCTCTTCAGTTTTATCATAAAAGTTTCCCAGATTGCATTTAGTTTACTCCCTCTCTCCCTCTATTCTCTGTACAGTCTTATTGGAGGACAGACGTGCACACTCAATACTAAATGCCACCAAAAAGGCAGTATTGATGCAGTGAAAGCATTTGAAAAACATAAGCAGAACTCAGGGATTCCCCAAAGCAAGAGAAAATGTAGAGCTCCTGATTTTTAAATCTGTATGATACACTGCAGTTTCTTTTCAGCACCTATTACAAGTGCTTATCTCCCAAGGAAATATTGATGCTGTTGAGGGGGAACAGGAATCACCTTGTACCTCCCTGCTCCTCTCACTGTGAGTATGTGTCTGTAGTGCTTATGTGTGTACATTTGAGGATCTAGTGTGGTTGGGGGCTCCCATCAGGAGCATTGGACTGAGAGAAACATGACAGAGGTGGGATTCAGGTCAGCAGAGAGAGTTTGTGAGGACACTGCTTTGAAAACACACACTAATAGATAGGAAGCTATAGGTGGAGACACCATGCATGCCTGAATGTTTGTTAGTGCATGTTAATATTAACTTCAGATTCACTGCTTTTTTAAACATTCCCATATTGCTGCTAAAATGCAAATTACAACTTCATGTAAGCATGTGAAGACAATCTTAGGCAGAGTGGTTATGAGCAATAACTTAATGACAAAAGGGATTTGCTAATTAATAGCAGTTTTATTGCTGTTTGATGTGGATTTATTTCCTACATTACCAGACAATGATTTCATAATCACTAGAAAAAGAAAATAAAACTGATAAAGCACATGACATGAGGCATTTGAACACAGAAGACATGTTGGTAAACGTACAGGCGTATACACATACTCCGATATAAAGCTCAGTTTAAATCAGCTGATAAAGCTTCATGGTCCTGTTCCTGCTACAAGTCAACATGTCTGTCGTAAAAAAGGTCTATTGAACTTCGTTCATCAGGCAAAGTAAGATATAAAATTGAAAGGTAAAGAAAAAAGGACAACATTTAAAGCAATCGAAGCTTCATATTCTTGTTGGATGTTTGCTGTGGAGACGCAGCTTAATTACATGTTACTTGTTAGACGCTTTTATCCACAGGAGAAATTTGGGGTGAAGTGTCTTGCCCGGGGACACAACAACATGCTGACTGCAGTGGGGTGTTACGGTGTGTGAAGCAGGCAGGACCCAAATGCAGATACAAACTGAAAAACTCCTTTATTTCAAGGCTAGGCACAGATAAACTAAGACAAAACAGAACACTCACCGAAGAACTAGTCATGACACAAGACGAACCAACACTGAACACAGGGAGAGCCAAGACTAAATACAGGGAGGGGTACTCACAAGACGAGAAACAGCCGGGCAGGGGAGGAGAAACACAAGGGCCACAGGTGAACACAATCAGACAACTAGACACACCAGGGAAACTAACGACAGGAGGAAAAACACAGGAAGAAGGACCAGACAATATACACGGAGGAAAACACGACAGGGAGAACAGCAAAACACCCAAAACAAGACATACAAAACGTGACATAACACAATAATCGTAACATGGGGTTTGAACCTGTGACCCCCTGACCCAAACACCTAGAAACAAGGGCCCACTATGCCACACGGCTCCACGGGTTTCTTCTGCAAGGACACCCAAAGCGAACTTTGTAGTCACGGCACATGCGCTTTCTCTGGTCCTTGTTGCGGCAAACAAATCCCTGAGTCGGATTGAAGCTGAAAAACAATAACAATTATTAAATGAATCAGTTCGATAGTTATATGAAGAAGACCATTTTTAAAAGCAAACAAAAACGTATTTTAAATTGGATATGTTGCTTAAACCATATTTCATGTTTAGCTCTGATATAAACCCAATGTAGTTTATTAAAGTACATTGATGCTAGTTCAAATAAACCTCTACAACCCTTTCAATTATCATACTTGTTCTTGTTTCTTTTGGCCAACCCTCACCGGAAATGGGTCCGACTTACTGCCGAGGACCCGGACACAGCTCTCGCTTTGGGAGTACAGAGATTGGATGGCCCTGAGTAGAGACCCCCTCCCCCCATACTCCCGCAGCACCTCCCACAGTAGCCTTCTCCAAATCTACAAAACACATGTAGACCAGATAAGCGTACTCCCAGGCCCCCTCCAGGATCCTTGCGAGAGTAAAAAGCTGATCCGTCGTTCCACGACCAGGACGGAATCCGCATTGTTCCTCCTCAATCTGAGGTTCGACAATCGGCCTGACCCTCCTTTCGAGTACCTTAGAGTAAACTTTCCCGAGGAGGCTGAGTAGTGTGATGCCTAATTGGCACACACCCTCTGATCCCCCTTTTTAAAAAGGGGAACCACCACTCCGGTCTGCCACTCCTTCGGTACTGTTTCCGACTTCCACGCAACGTTGATGAGACGTGTCAACCATGACAGTCCCTCAACACCCAGAGCCTTCAGCATTTCCGGGCGGATCTCATCCACCCCCGGGGCTTTGCCACTGTGGAGTTGTTTGACGACCACAGTGACCTCCCCCCGGGAGATTGGTGTTGATCCCCCGTCATACTCCAGCTCTGCCTCTAACATAGAGGGCGGAGTTGTTGGATTCAGGAGTTCCTCAAAATGTTCCTTCCAACGCCCTAACACTCCATTAGTTGAGGTCAACAACGTCCCATCCTTACTGTACACAGCTTGGATGGTTCCCTGCTTCCCCCTCCTGAGGTGTCGGACAGTTTTCCAGAACAACTTTGGTGCCGCCCGAAAGTCCTTCTCCATGTCTTCTCCGAACTTCTCCCACACCCGCTGTTTTGCCTCGGCCACGGATGAGGCTGCTGCCCTTCGGGCCTGTCGGTACCTTGCAACTGCCTCGGGAGTCCCCCGGGATAACAAATCCCTGAAGGCCTCCTTCTTCAGTCGGACGGCTTCCCTGACCACCGGTGTCCACCAGGAGGTTCGAGGGTTACCGCCCCTTGAGGTGTCTGGGTCCTCGGCAGTAAGTCGGACCCATTTCCGGTGAGGGTTGGCCTCCGCCAGGGCTGCGCTTTGTCATCAATCCTGTTTGTAATATACATGGATCGGATTTCGAGGCGTAGTCATGGGGGAGGGGGTCTGCAGTTCGGTGGACTAAGGATTGCACCACTGCTTTTTGCAGATGATGTGGTTCTAATGGCTTCATCGGTCTGCGACCTTCAGCACTCACTGGATCGGTTCGCAACCGAGTGTGAGGCGGCTGGGATGAGGATCAGCACCTCCAAATCTGAGGCCATGGTTCTCAGCAGGAAACCGATGGACTGTCCACTCCAAGTAGGGAATGAGTCCTTACCCCAAGTGAAGGAGTTCAAGTATCTCTGGGTCTTGTTCTCGAGTGAGGAAACAATGGAGCGTGAGATGGGCCGGAGAATCGGAGCGGTACTGCAGTCGCTTTACCGCACCGTTGTGACGAAAAGGGAGCTGAGCCAGAAGGCAAAGCTCTCTGTCTACCGGGCCATTTTCGTTCCTACCCTCACATATGGTCATGAAGGATGGGTCATGACCGAAAGAACGAGATCGCGGATACAAGCGGCCGAGATGGGTTTTCTCCGCAGGATGGCTGGTGTCTCCCTTAGGGATAAGGTGAGAAGTTCGGTCATCAGGGAGGGACTCGGAGTTGAGCCGCTCCTCCTTCGCGTCGAAAGGAGCCAGTTGAGGTGGTTCGGGCACCTAGTTAGGATGCCACCTGGGCGCCTCCCTAGGGAGGTGTTCCAGGCACGTCCAGCTGGGAAGAGACCAAGGGGTAGACCTAAGACCAGGTGGAGGGATTATATATCTTCGCTGGCCTGGGAGCGCCTTGGGATCCCCCAGTCAGAGCTGGTTGATGTGGCCAGGGAAAAGAAAGTTTGGGGCTCTCTGCTGGAACTGCTACCCCCGCGACCCGATCACAGATAAGCGGGAGAAGATGGATGGATGGATGGTTCTTGTTGTCAGGTGGAACTTTGTTTCTAATATTAAATATCTCAGATATCCACAATGATCATTTGAAATCATTAAAATGTCTTCTAATGTAAATTAAATGTCCATGTACAGAGTTTCTATTCACTGTTATAGGTGCAGCTCCAGGCAGCACATGTGGGTGACTTGTAAGGAGTTTTTAATGTTCAGAAGTACCGACTTATTCCTGGGATGTGGTTAAATAATCATTTGCATTATTTCAGTGAGGCAACTTACATATAGAAGTTCTCCTCTGTGGAGATGGCTGGGGGCATCGTGTCACTGGTAACGGCCTCAATGTACAGAGGGTATTCACAGATCTTTCCTGGGTATTCTTTCCTCAGGTTACTCAAAAGCTCCCAGTCCCCTGTGCCACTGGGATTGTCACGGTCAAACCAGTCGGTCCAGCACACTGCAAGGAGCAATAAATGAGAGAGAGGACGACTGGGTAGGTAGCTGTAAAACTCTCCTAAATGAATGCTTATTCAAGAGAGTGCTTACACAGTGTGGTGTGCTCTTACCTCCTCCACCACAGAAAGGGGAATGGCAGCTGAAACGAACACGGTAGTCACTGCACATCTTCTTTTGGATTTGATCAACGTTTCTGCAGACGAATCCTGAAGTGGCGTCATTTCTGAAAAGAAAAAGTTTAGTCCAGATGGAAATATCTCCCAAAAAGGTTGATTGTGTGCCATGGGGATTCTGTACAGACATTCCTGTTCCCTGAAGGATAAATTATTTCTTATTTTTTAGGCTTTTCCTCCAGTGCCAACAGGACGTTGACAAGAGCGGTTTTGAGTGTTTTAACCAACAGATTGAATGGATAGCAATTGCATTCAGTAAACACATTCATGTCCCCCGCAGGAATAAGTGTACGTATTTTCCGGACTACAATTCGCTCCTGAGTATAAGTCGCTCTTGTCAAAAAACGTGTCGTTAAGAGAAAAAAAATCATATATAAGTCGCATTTATCCACTGAAGTGTTCATCGTCTGTGTCGCCGTGAAGTTCTCACTAGTATCACCGACAGGGCCTTCCCTCGCTACAGGCCGATCATGCAGACTGCGTAGGGCCTCACCTTGCGGAGGGTGCCTCAACTGAGCCGAAAATGCAGCGCACCTATTCGCTTATGCGGCACAATTAGTGTGGCGCGGCACGGTTTCTCCGCAACGAGGCTCCACTAGCAATTCCCCGTTGACGCTCGCTATATGAGGGCCTCATCATATAACTTTGCGTGGGGCCTCATGTCGGCCAGGGACGGCCCTGATCACCGAGCTAGCTATCCATCCAGTTAAACACTTTCAAAGAAACTCCGGCAGATGTCAGCTTTACTGAAGTTTAATGAATTGGTGAAACTGTAAACACAATACAGACATGGCACACTGTTAATAGCTGAATAAACAAAATAATCCACACAAGGAGCTACGGCGCATAATACTGATTAGCCTAGCTGCTAATTAGCTTAGCCACTCGGAATTCTCACTGCTTTTATACAGTCGCTGTTAAACACTTCCGCCAACTCCGGTGTCGATGAAGCAGCATGTCCTGCTCCGGGCTGTCCTCAGACTCATCAGAATCAGCTCTGATGAATGCATTTGAGATAATTGATTTAAAACATACCCAGTAGGCTACTATACAATATTGCAACCCAGTCTCATGGCATTTCGTGTTATAGTCCCGACATTTAATCTATTTATTCGTGTTCACCAACACGATTTTCCTCTTTTTTTCGTGTCACACAGAACGATTTTAAAAGCAATGTATTTTTATTGGTAGTATGTTTCGTGCCTGCAGCACGTCTTTTTGTCCGTTTGGGTCTTGGAAGACCGGAAGCTGTGGGGTTCATAAAAACATGTTTTTACTCAATATCAAGCCACGATTATTGTTTTTTAAATCGTATTATGTCTGACTTTTTTTGTCATCTGTGAGGAAAAGAAATGGGGCTCAGAGCCTCAGAATACTGAAATCTGTATTTTTTAAAATCTTTTTTTCCTTCTAATTTGTTATTCTTTTCTAAATAATTGTTATATAAATACAGTGTTCAAAAATGCTGAAAGACACAAAGTAACAAGGATTTACATAAAGAAAACAAAACCTCAATATATATATAAATTACACACTGGTATTTACTCACCAATAACACACAATTATCCTTGTTTTTATTTATTTGTTTGATTCCATAATCTCGGGCTTTTTTGGCGTCCGTCAGGAACTGAATTTCAAAATAAAAATAACCGGAAACAGACGTAGGCATTTCGAGCGATTACCCAAGATATAGTTTAAGCTCGCTGATTGGATGTTTTAGCCGCAATGCATGTTGGGATTAGGTGTTTATATGATATGAAATCGGTAAAACATTTTAAAAAAATACAATAATACTAAAGAGTGTTCTTGCTTTTCTCTTTGAAAGTCATCACATAACGGCATTGTAATACACGGTTTGGCTACATTAAATAGTACAGATCTGCCGTAGTTCTTTATTTATAGAGCCCTGATGAGAAGACCTTTGGAAAAACTGGAAGAAATGCCGCCAAAACTGAATACTTGACGTGGATCATAAATATATCAACAATTAAACAACATCTTCAATTTCTCTTCACACAATACGTCTCCTTGCAGTATCAACACTAATTCGGCTGACTTTTACATTTGATCTAATTCGTAGATAGGCCTAGGTTATATTTACACCATTACGGTGCACAGCTGATATAAAAGGACGGTAACACTTTATATTAAGGTACACAAATTAACCATCAACTAGTTGTTAATTAACATGCATATTAGCAGTATATTGGCTCTTTATTAGTCATTATAAAACACTTATTAATGCCTTATTCTACATGACCATATTCTACAAGAAATAAGCCATTCGTTGAGAGTTTTTCCGCATTAACCCTCTAATTAGTGCTTATTTGTTGCAAGTAAGGAACTTATTGTACATGAGTTTTGGTCTTAATATGCTCTGCCCAATATGGGCCTAATAAGGCAGTAGTACCACAAGAATAGTAATTCTCCCATAATAACACTTAACAAATATGATCTATTCTTATGGAACAAGACATGAAACTATAGGTTACTTACGTAACCCCAGTTCTCAGAGTAACTTGAAGTGAGATGTCTCACTATGGGATGCGCCTCATCGCGGAGCAAACAGAAGCATCAATCTCATTACGCCAATCCTGATGGTGATCTTGACGTCAGCGTCAGGGAAATCACCCCCTATAAGTAGCTTGCGCCACGACGCATGCGCCATTCAAAATAAGCACCTCTTCTCGCTTCACCATAGCAAGGAGGGCCGTCTGGTGAGACATCTCACTTCATGTTACTCTGAGAACTGGGGTTACGTAAGTAACCTATAGTTCTCATTCATAACACTCCGTTCGATGTCTCACTATGGGAAATTGTAGCTCCCGTATTGCCAGACGAGCTTATCTCGAAAATCACCAAATCAACCAGAACTTAACAGGTAGAGCTCTGACTCAACCAGGTGCCCAGCACTGCTTGAGTCACACTGGGAGCAGAACGTCCAGCCTGTTAGGAGGCAGACAAAAGTGAGCTGCACCAATGTCTTTGATGGGAGACATCCTGGACAGAGTCCAGAATGCAGCCAGACCCTGAGTCGAAAGAGCTCGCGGACCCGAGGGTGCCTGCGAACTCTGACTCGTATGAGCCCCAAAGCAATTGCTTCCACAGACCAGTGGGAGAGCCGTTGCTTAGTAACAGGCTTGCCCTTATAAGGGTTAGCCCAGGACACAAGGGGTTGGTCATTATGACAAAGCACCCTTGATCTGTCCCTGTACGTGCGTGAAGCACGGGCTGGACACGGCAAATCCGGCCGCTGTTCCCCGGAGGAATACAGTGGCGGGGAGAATGCCTCAATGTCAAATGTGGTACCCGAACCGACCGCCTTAAGATAAAGGCAGGGTTAGGCTTCAACCACACTCTGTTTGCCCTGGGGCAAACTGAGTGCATGAAAACTGTACAGATAGTGCATGAGTGCCACTGGCTCGCTTGGCAGCTGCCAGGGTCAGCGTCATGTCACACTGTATTTAGATTGTACCACTCACGGGCCAGGCCCATAGAGCCAAGCGCTCTGGGTGTGGGTGAAAGATCGCCCCCCCCCGCTTGGGACAGTATGTCCCTGCGTAGTGGGAGCTGCCATGGCTGCCCGCACAGCAGCTGATATATCTCCGCTAGCCAGTACATAGCTGGCCAGTGCGGAGCTATCAGGATAAGTGTGTGGCGTTGCTCTCTCACTCTGGCCAGAGTTGGGGGTATCAGAGCCAGGGGTGGGAACGCGTACAGAAGGCCCGGGGGCCAATTGTGCGCGAGTGCATCCACGCCTAACGGTGCATTTAGATCGCGCATCGAAAAGAACAGCTGACACTGAGCGTTGTCTTTCGATGCGAACAGATCCACCGCGGCTCTGCCGTAACGCACCCACAGCTGGCTCACAATCCTTGGATGTAGAGTCCAGTCTGCATAAAGTGGTATACCTCTGGACAGTAGATCTGCCCCGAGGTTCCTCACTCCCGGTACGTGCGTCGCTCTCAGAGAGAGGAGACGCCTACCGCTCCATAGGATAAGTTTGCGCGCCAGTGTGTGTAACTGGAGAGAACGCAAACTCCCTTGGCGGTTAATATACGATATTGTGGTCGTATTGTCTGTCCTCACGAGGACGTGATGTCCCCTGAGGAAAGGCAGAAAGCGTTTTAGGGTGAGAAACACCGCTAAAAGCTCCAGGTAATTTATGTGTGCCCGCTGGAGGTCTCTGCTCCAGAGACCCCTCACCGGGCGACCTTCATAAATACCTCCCCAACCTGTCAGACATGCGTCCGTGGTGACCACTTTCCGTGAAAGGACAGCACCCATAGGCACACCTCGTACTAGAAAAGTCGGGTGCAGCCAGTGGCGCAGTGCCATTACGCATTTCACAGTAACCATCACTCTCCGCGCGCCATGGCGCGCGGAGAGTGATGGTTAGTGATGGTTTAGTTTTAGGGCGGCCACCCAGCGCTGAAACTCCCTCATGTATAAGCGTCCCAGTCGTACGACCAGGATGGCTGACGCCATGAGCCCCAGCAATCGCAGGCATGATCTGAAGAGAACATGTTTGCGCAGCTGGAAAAGAGCGAGACAAGCTCTGAAAGCTTTCACTCTATCCGCTGACAAGCGAGCTGAAAAGGGCACCGAGTTCAGGTGTAAACCCAGGAAGAGTATAGTCTGCGCGGGGCACAACATGCTCTTCTCTGTGTTTATTATGAAACCCAGGTTGAGCAGGTGCTTTACGAGGACATTTGTCTGCGTAACAGCCTCCTGCTCCGACTGTGCGAGAAGCAGCCAGTCGTCCAGGTAGGTCGCCAGGCGAATACCCTGTTGTCTTAACGGGGCTATCGCGGCTTCCGTACATCGTACAAACACCCTTGGACTGAGAGACAGACCGAAGGGGAGTACTCTGTATTCATAACAGATCCCCTGAAATGCGAATCTCAGATATTTCCTGTGTGGGTAATATACTGGGATGTGAAAATACGCATCTTTCAGGTCGACTGATGTGAACCAGTCGTCTTGTCGCACGAGCCACAGCAGAGATGTGTGAGTGAGCATTCTGAACTTATATCTTTTAGATATTTGT